TGTCCATCGGTAACGGACATATCTTCGATACCGGCCGTTGCAGTTGACCATGCGCAGTGCGTAATGTCACCACGCGTACGACACCATCCGGACCCGGATGACAACAAACAATACGTGCCAAATCCCATTTCAGTGGAGGTAAGTTGTCGTTCCGGATTAAAACCAAAGTGTTCGGAGCCGGGTTGGGAATGTTAGTGGTCCATTTAGTCCTCTGTTGTAGCGTGTGTAGATATTCGAGAGACCATCGTTTCCAGAAATGTTGCAGCATGGCTTGTACCAGTTCCCATCGTGACAATCTGCTGTGTGGTACATTCTGAAAATCTAGATGAGGTATTTCAGTGTTCAGTGGTGATAATAATAAGAAATGACCTGGTGTGAGGGGTTGGAGATCATTAGGATCGGAGCTGAGTGGGTGAAGAGATCGAGAATTTAAAACGGATTCAACTTGCGTGAGAAGGGTATAAAATTCCTCGAAAGTTAGTACTTGGTTCCCTATGACCCTCTGTATATGTGATTTCACGGACTTAACTCCAGCTTCGCTAAGTCCATTGAAGTTAGGCGATGCAGGAGGGTTGAAGAGCCATTCGATCCCAAGATTACCACCCGCCTCCTGTGCCAATCGATTCATTTCATTAAATGCACCAATAAAATTAGTTCCTCTGTCCGAAAAAATACGGGTACAGTAACCACGGCGTGCAATAAATCTACGAAAAGCAGCCATAAATGCTTCGGTGCTTAAATCGGAAACCAATTCTAAGTGAACGGCCTTGGTGGCAGCGCACACGAAGAGACAAACATAGGATTTGAACGTCTTGGCACCACGATGTTTACGGGCGATAGTAGCGAATGGACCGGCGTAATCAATTCCAACAGTGAAAAATGGTTTCATCTGTTGCACCCGAAACTTTGGTAAGTCTGCCATCAATGGTGTGAACGACTTAGGATTTGTCTTGAAGCATTTAATACATCGTGATATAACTCTGTATATGACATTTCTAGGCGATAATATCCAAAATTGGTTAGCTACTATAGCGGAGAGTGTACGGAAGCCAGGATGTAAATGCTCTTGATGCAGCTTTTCGACAATCAGTTCGCTCAATCGACACTTCTTTGGCAATAGAATGGGATGTTTAGCCTCGTAAGGAATTTCAGCATTTCGAAGGCGACCACCCACGCGAATTAAATTTTGTTGACATATAAAAGGTGATAATTTACGAAATGATTTTGCGATTATTTTACCAGTCTGGATCTGATCTTTAAGTTGGGAAAACGATTCAGATTGTACTCGACGTACTTACTTACTTAAAACGGAGAAGCGATTCATTAAGGTATGTAAAAAGTTTTCGTCTATTTGTTCTGCAACGTTTACGATAACCACTCGTTTTTCTTCTGATATACTCTCATCTGGACATGTAGGTGGTGATTTCGATGGCCATTGCGAATGATGAGATGACAACCATGCAGGTCCGTTCCACCATAATTTACATCGTATCATCTCGGAAGGTAAAA